TCCCGAGTGAGCCACAGGCCGGCCCTTAAATGATTGTCTAATCAATTCTAATATCTTTGTTTTCCCTAAATGGGTGGCTTGGTGAATTTCATGAGCCAAGCATTGACCCTTTTTTTTCTGGTAGCCATATGGCTTTGTCCTTTGATTCATACCATGGTTATGTTTTTTTGGTATCCCGATGTTTCAGCCTTTTTCTCGTCTTCTGGAGAGTACTCAGGTTTTAGTGGCAAATGAGGTTGTGGTAGCAAAGGTGCTATGACTGATGTCCCGGTTGGCTGGAGTGCCACTGCTTTAGCAGTCTCATCAGCGAAGTTATTTCCTTGAGTTTCTACACTTGTTCCCTTTTGGTGTGCCTTGCAATGAATAACTGCAGCCTCGGTTGGAAGCCAAATAGCTTCTAATAGTGCAAGAATTTCAGGAACCTTTTTAATTGTCTTTCCTTCTGAAGTGAGTAACCCTCTTTCTTTGTAGATGGCCCCATGTACATGTACAGTAGCAAAGGCATATCTACTGTCAGTGTAGATATTTACAGTCTTACCTTCACTAAGCTGAAGGGCCTTTGTGAGAGCGATAAGTTCTGCCCGCTGGGCTGAGGTCTGGGACTCAAGAGCTTCTACCCATAGTACTCGTTCAGGAGTAACCAACGCGGCACCTGCATACCTGAGTCCTTCAACCATGTAGCTGCTGCCATCTGTGAAAAGAGTTAGCTCCGCCTCCTTGAGAGGAGTGTCCTGCAACCCTAGTCGGGGGCCCTGGAAGGCGGCTAAGATTTCAAGGCAATCATGTGCGACTTCGCAGCGGTCAGGGTCACTGTCAGGGAGCAAGGTGGCTGGATTTAGGGCAACCGGGTTGGAGAATGTAATATGTTTGGGTCCAAGCCGTTGGGTCTGGTAATGAGTTAACCTTGCATCTGAAATCCATTTTCCTGGTGGGGTTTTTAGTAGAGTCTCTACCCCATGAGAGGTAACAATATTTAGGGGCTGGCCCAAGGCTAACTTATTAGTTTCTTTTCCTAGGAGTGCAGTTGCAGCTGTAGCTCGTAAGCATGTGGGCCAGCTGGTGGCCACTGGGTCCAACTTGCGTGACAAGTAAGCCACCGGTCGTTTCCATGGCCCTAGATCTTGGGTTAGCACCCCCTTTGCGATACCCTTATTTTCGGCCACAAATAAGGTAAAAGGCTTTTCTAGATTGGGCAGTGCCAGGGCTGGGGCCTGCGTAAGGGCAGCCGTTATGTTGTTGAATGCCAATTGGAGTCTCTCGGTCCAAGTAATTTGATCCCCTGGTCCCTTAGTAGCCTCATGGAGGGGCTGGGCCATTTCAGCAAAGTTGAGAATTTATAAGCGACAGTATCCTGTGGCTCCTAGGAATTCTCGAATTCGCCTTTTAGTCTTTGGCTCTGGTATATTCAGGATGGCTGTTATGCAGTCAGGGGACAATTTCCTTTTCCCTGCACTTAAGATATATCCAAATATGTCGCCATCAGGGAGCAAAGTTGGGCCTTTTTAGTGGATACCCGGTATCCTAGGTATTGTAAGGTCTTTAATAAATCCCCTGTGGCTTGTTACAAATCTCCAGGGTGGGTGCAGCCAATAGCAAGTCATTGACATATTGTAACAGTGTTATATTTGATCCCCACTTTACCTTGAAATCTTGGGGGTCTCGGCTCAGCGCTTCATCAAACAGCATAAGTGAGTTTTTAAATCCTTGGGGCAGTCTAGTCCATGTTAGTTGACCAGAGTAGCTTCCATCTGGGGCTTCCCATTCGAAGGCGAACAGAGGCTGCCTGATTTTGGCTAGGGGCAGACTGAAGAAGGCATCCTTTAAATCCAACACTGTATAAGCCTGACGGAGGGGATTAACCAGGCTCAACAACGTATAGGGATTTGGTACAGTTGCATGGATAGTTTCCACCCTCTTATTGACTTCTCAGAGGTCCTGGGCAGGCCTGTAGTCATTTGTCCCTGGCTTTTGGACCAGTAACAGGGGAGTATTCCAGCTAGACTTGCAAGGCACTAGTATCCCTTCTTGTTTTAATTTATTAATGTGAGGTCCAACCCTTGTCGTGTCTTTAACGGAAGAGAGTATTGTTTTACTCTGATGGGGGTGGCGGTTGCCATGAGCTGGACCACTATTGGAGGTTGGTGCCTTGCTAGCCCAGGGGGATTAGACTCAGCCCAGACCTGGGGCACAAGTTTCATGTAATAAGCTAGCAACTCTTGGTGGTTGGAGGTTTTATCCTCC